CTGGGCTGCTCAGTAAGACAAAGTGAGGCATGAGAAATACCCTGCAAGTCTTTTTTCTACTTTTCTTGGCTGAGAGGGAGCAGCAGATTGTGTGACAGTCACCTGGATCACAGAAACATGTGATCAGAAAGGCTGGCACTAATCCTTAGGACTCTTCAGGGGCACTAAGATTTTACAATGTCATCAAGTGAGCAACTGAATTAAGAGTTTACAAGCCTATAAAAATATTTTGTTAATGTTGTAAATGTGATAAAAAAAAATATAATAACAACTACTGAACAATTTTAAAGCAAAGGGTAAAGAATAATAATGCGCACAATATGTCCATGCTGTATAGTAAAAAACCCCACCCACACCAAAGAAAAGAGATAAAACATATACACAGTATGCAAACACTTGAAGCCTTTGGTTCTCATAGTGTGGTGTGGTACAGGGAAACTCAGCACCCTGGGGACAGGAAGATTAACACATGACAGAGCTCATTAACCCTGGACAAAGAGAGATGCTAATCTTGAACAGTTAGCTTCAACTGTCCACAAACTGTCCACAGAAACAGAGAGAGGGGCAAGGAAGGCAGGCAAGAAAGAACAAGGAAGGAATATGAAGCAGTTAAAGGGGCCGTAGTATGTCCCAGAAAGTAGACAATACTGTGTGGAGCCAAGGCTAGAGGGGCAATCAGCCCCACAACAATAAGGGTGGAGACAGAGCCCAACTACAAACAACGGCCCCAATGGCGAAGGCCCTACTCCAGTCTGGCTAAGCTCCACCGCCTGCAGGGGCAACCAGCAGGGCAGCGCAGAGCTCCACTGTGTGGATATCGATCGCACAGGAGAAAGTGGGGAGCCAAGCAGGCAACTCCACAGATGGCCAGGGCAGTGAAGGAGACAGAAACAGACAGAGGAAGTGCATTAGTGAGGCAGGTTCCTCTGATGCTGTTAGCGCTCCCCCCTGGGAGATAAGAGAGATGTTGATGACATGGTTTTAGAGAGGACAGCTTTTAAAAAAAAAAAAAGAAAAGAAAAGAAAGACACAGAGAGAGACGGGGGACCTAACAGAGAATCTAAAGCTAATTTGTAACTTGAAGAGCTGCTGGATCATCTCCATAATGGGCCGTCTGCCCACAAACAAGCTCCTCTCAGGGGGTAAATGAGATCAGGCCAGCCCAGGACCAGCTGGTGGCTTGGATCAATGACACCAGATAGACCAGATACAGAGACAGGGGAAGAGACCAGAACCGAGGCATCTGGAGAGAAGGGCAGAAACGCTGCTGCCCAAGAGGCTCTGGTGCTCTCTTGAGATTCACAGAGGGGGGACACGGACATCCGCACGCAATGTACAACCGGAACGTCTCTGTCCTTAAGAGGATTATGCCGTCACGTTTTAAGTGGAACGTGGCACGTTCCAGATGGAATCTGATCTCTTGCAGGATGGCAGACAGGTTGCATGGTCAGGCTGATCTGCACCTACAAAATACATCCTTCTGAGAAGCACACATCTGGCCTTAAAACGGCACATCTGTCCAGGACAGAGACACTTATTTGAGCAATTCATAGGAAGTTGGTGATTTATGTTAGAGCAAAGAATGAAAAAGGCAAAGCAAGATTTATGTCAACAGGGTAAACTGATATGACTGAGAAATAAATTGGCTGTTACAGCTGCTTATGGTAAGCACCAGTGTCAGGCCCAAATGCCTATCATTCCTGTTGAGCCTGCGGTGAGGGTAGGCTGGCTAGACACTAATATAATCTTGACCAGTTTAGCCACAAACACACGGCAATGGCGATGTATGGACGACGACATTGACTCCATTATCTCAGAGCCAAAATTGTTAGAGGAGATTGGATGACTAAGGATAGAGCAACCATCAGTCTGGACCAATTTTTTAACTATATCGGTGACCAGATTGCACCAAAACGCAAAAAAAAAAAAAAATCAAGGCGCCACAAACACAATGTGCAATGACAAATCTGGTCTTGAAGCCTAGCAACAGGGCTGTGAACCATGTCCATTATCCAGCCTCCCACCAGAGGAATTCAGAGAGCCCAAACACAGCAAATTACTGCAGCTGCTGGCAAATACAGTCTCAAAACCACGTCGCCAGTTGCCAACTGCATGCCCTGACAACTGCGACGCCACCAACCAAGGCTGCTATCAAGGCTAGAGCAGCTAGACGACAGCAAAGTTTATCTCTTCTTTGTCCTCACTGTGAAAATTCAATGCGGTGCCCGTGGCGGTTTCCTCAAACCTCAATCAGCCAGCAAACAAAAGGAAATGCAGCCAAACATACTGTTTCTGTTGGTGTTTTGATAATCTCCAAACAAGAAGCTATTGTGCAGCTGTTGCCATGGATTAAAAGAGAGCTGTGGGGCGATAGTGGTAATTTCTAATGAGGCCATAAAGTGCAAGGGCCATGGGTTCAGGCTGAAAAAAGCTCGATGACCAGAGGGCCAGTTTTGTCCTTGTCACTGCTGAGAAGTTCAGAGCTGGGGGGGTGTCATTCTGAGTCACACACCCACCAACACCAGGCCTTTGACTAAGGGCGAGCTGACACACAGGTCTATTAATGCAACAACCATCTCCCCCTCTCAAGACCGAGGCATGGGTCGAGAGGCCAGCTTAGGGCAAAATAGGTCATTAGAATTTAAATTGCCTTGAAACAAATTCTGATGAAAGAGCTTTTCTTTGAAAAAACTAAAACAGGTATGCATATTTCAGATATTTTAGGTATGTTTTGCACAGACAAATGCAGGGGGAGAGAAACAATTACTGCACAGTTTCTCTCAGTGAATCTGCAAGACCTAAGAAAGCATTTATAACATCCTTCTTTAAAAGATATGAGCTACAACCATTAAGTTAGCTAAGGAATCTCATTACCACATGGTTCCTGTTAATGGGGCTCTAGTATAAGTATGCTCATTCACAGTTCAAATTTATTTTGCTTTATTTATTTTTATTTATTTAGTTCATCCACTGTCTGAAAAAAGCTCTTTTAGCCATCTTCCCACTATCTTAAATGCAGATGTCTTTTGATTGGCTGCACCTGGCAAAACATAAGATGGGCGTGGTTTATTTGCCTGAGCATGACCATATTAGGACTACCTGCTCTCACTGACATCATACAAAGCCGAGAGTAGAAAAAAACAGTCTGAGACATTGTGATTAGTGTTACATATGGTGATTTTATCATTTAAAACTTTGGTCAGGTTTATTTAAAGTGATTAAGTACAAATCTGAAGCAACTCTTCATTTCATTTAGTGGACACATAGTAGTAGTAGCGGTGCGGGCTATGGGAGACTATTTGAGACAGCGACACTTAGTCCTCGTGCACCGCTAACACTGTAGACACCCACACCCTTGATTCCAGCTCCAAAAGTAGACAAAAGACAGAGGGATAAATGTTAATTTTCTAAAAGATGCAATACAAACAAAGACAGAGAAGATACAACTAGAAAGAAAGTAGATAACTCCATCAGATATTTCCTAATTACAATGATCGGTTTCATTGTTTAGCTTCTGAAAAATCTCCCTCCGCACACACACACACAAACACAATGCCTCTGGCATTAATCTCCACCCTCCAAGTAATAATCTTTCTGAAACATCTTAAATAACTTCATAAAGCTGAGTGTGGTTTTCAATGGCAGATAAATTTAATTTCACATGATTGCATTAGGCTGCATGTCTGTCCTCCATTTGCCTGCCTCATCCCACTGACTCCATGAGTCAGCCATTCTCTCATCCACGCACCAGAGAGAGAACAAGGGGGGGGCGGCAGACTCACGGATGGCTTAGCCCACCCCCTGACTTAAGAGTCCTGGAGGGTCTCCAAACCCCAAGCCTGAAAAGTGTCCGTATTAGTTGCCCTGGGATGGCGTTTCCTCACGGTTGATCGCTGCTCATTATTTGACCAAGCCGTGCCCCACCAAGGCCACAGAGCTCAAGACAATTTATGTCCCTTGTCTGAGCCACCGCTGGGGGAAAAGAATACACTTGTAGGCTGAGGATAAAGATTTTTAATGCTTGCATGTTTGCAGTTTATTAAACGCTCTTGGCAAGGCTTTGGGAACTGTCAGTGTTTTCTCCTCCCTATTGTTCAGCAGAGAGGGAGCTTAATCTGTCTTGCTGCACTCACTCACCCCCCCAAACAAAAAAAAGGAATCAGCGAGGGAGCCCCTCCAGCCTTATGCCACAATAGCTGATCACTTTTTGGAGACGAGGTGGTGGTGGTGACATTAATCACCTCTGATTACATGCCAGCATGAGACTGTGCACAAACTCTCTCTGAGATTTACACTCTCCCTGCAGGATCTGCGCAGAGATTTGCTTTAACATGCTCCAAATACGCCCAAAGTTGGTCTGTTGAGTTAAAACGAAAGCTGCAAATTTATTAGCACGATATCTGCCAGCTTCTTTCCCCCCACTGAGACGGCTGAAACATTGCTCAGCAACTCACACTAGTTGGCTCATCACAGAACAATGGGCAACCGCGATGGAGGATGGAGAAGGAAGGAGAGGTCAGAAGAAGAGAAAGTTTAGAGGTTAAAAAGGTGGATAAACAGTCACACAGCGAGAGGAAACACTATGAAAATAAACAATAGCGTGGATTTAAAGGCATTTAGCTTTTTTTTCAGCTTTGGTCTAACAGGTCCTATGAGCACTTGAAGCTACCATGCAGCCTGCCACCGCCCCATCAAGCCCCTTTGCACGGGAATCAAAGTGACTGAAACGGAGCGGCTCGCCCTCAAAAATGATGAAGTGACACTAAAACAAACCCGTTTGTACATTTCCGACGCAAATCCAGTCACACAAAGAGCAAGCCGGATTCCACTGCGCTGCTTAGCGTTAATATAAAAAACACGAGTAATAACACAGTAAGCAGAGCAGACACTCCGTAACGGACGGCAGAAAATCATTTTAAATTGTGGCTTTTAATTAGCTAAACATGACTTATTGACTGACAATAGCATGCTAGCTAAAGCTAAAGAAATCTCGACCTTACCGGTTAGTGCAGCGACGAGCTAGCAAAATCCTCTCCAGCTACGCCCAAGTGTTAGCCGGTACACCCAGACTGGATCCTCGAGTCCGGCAAAAAATAACGACAGAAAGTGAGGATGGGAATTAAAAACGAAACCGGGAATGAGGGGCGGGAGAGCTGAGCAAATAGAGCCGAGACGTCAGACAAAAAAAAACTTCTAGGTCTCAAGCGTCGTTTTTCACAAGTGATGCGCGTTCCCTGAAAGGAAGAAAGGAGGAGAATGAGGCTTTGCTCCTCTCACACACACACGATAGTAGACCGGTGAACGGATGGATGGACAGGCTGAGGAGAAGGCTGACGCCGCCTTCAGGTACCCCTGGAAAAAGTGGGAATTGGGAAAGGTTTCCGTATGAGAGACCCGCTATAAAAAATTAAGGAAATCTGTAAGTAAATCTATAGCAATTCGTAATATTTGACTGATACTGATAATGTGAAGGGATCGTTGAATTTTTGTTTTGTTTTTTGCCGTTTTACCGTCAGTTAATGCTACTTAATAAAATGAATACCATTTACATGTCTCGAAGAACAATAAACTACATAAAGCTTCAGTTTGCAGCAGGTTAGCAGGTAGACCATTTTTGACGATGGGTAACAAACAAAATCCACAAGCATCACCAAATAAATAAATAAATAAATAAATAATAAACACGTATTATTATTATTATTATCACTATTATTATTATTATTTTAAAATTTCAAGATAATCCTAGGACATTATCAAACCATAGATTCAGCCCAAGTGAGCTAGTTTATGTTATTTTACTTGTTATGCTCATTTTTAACTCCATGTTTTTATTCTTTGATAACTAGATCAACATAATTACAGCCATCCTCCTCAGGGAGCCTGCCCTAGCTGTCACAAGGTAGGTGGGTCCAATGCTGACACAGGGGAGAACTCCACAGAGAAAGGACTCCATCCCAGGACCTTGCTGTGAGGCATCAGTGTTAACCACTGCACCACCATGCAACCATGCAGTTATCTGATAATAAACCCAGTTTTTCTTATACCTGGCATCCCTTTTGAGTTCAGTCTGAAAAAGAGTTTTAGATTCATGTTAAAAAGTAGGTTTGAACAAGCAGGTGGGTGAGGCCTGCCTGAGATGACCATATTAGGATTACTCGCTCTCTATGACATCATAAAGAGTCATGAGCAGATAAGGCCTGTCTAAAACTGAGAATTTAAAAGACACTGAAGGCTGACACGTTGTCTCACAGGGATTATTGATACATATATTGGCTTTATTATTTGAAACTTTAAATTATGAGGATTGACTATTTCAAGAGCAAACAAATGCAAAGCAAAAAAAATAAAAGATTTCCTGTAATGATGTTGATGAGATATAAAGTAATCAAACAGAATTAACAAAACTCCCACAGACCCACAGAAGACATGTCACGCCTGCTCTTAGCACTGAAACTGTATAATTCCACATTTATTGAGAAATAAGCATGGTGAAACACACGAAACAGGTGGTAGAGAGCCTGGACAGGTGGAGGTTTGGACTGGAGAGAAGAAGGATGAAAGGCGGTAGGATCCAGACAGAATACATGTGTGTGAATGAGATGGAGATGGACGGAAAGGTGAAGCTGCAAGTAGAGATAGTGAGCATAGGTGAGTTTAAATACCTGGAATCAATCCAAGACAATGGACCGCGCACAAGAGAGGTGAAGAAGAGAGTCCAGGCAGGGTGGAGCAGTTGGAGATGAGTGTCGGGGGCGATTTGTGACAGAAGAATAGCAGCAAGAGTCAAAGGAGAAGTTTAAAAGTGAGTGAGTGGTAGTGAGACCTGGTATGATGAGTGGTTTGGAGACGGTGGTACTGATACAAAGACAGAAGGACGACTTGGAGGTGGCAGACCTGAAGATAGTGAGATCTTCCCTGGGAGTGAGCATCATAGTCAGGATTAGAAATGAGTACATCGCAGAGACAGCTCTTGTTGAGCAGTTTGGAGACAAAGTCAGGATGTTGAAGATGGATCTCCCAGGCAGGAAGAAAAGAGGAAAACTTCATAGGAGGTTGCTAGGGATATAGATGCTTCACTGTGACAACCCATAAAGGGAACAGCTGAAAGAAGAAGAAGATCAATTGGAAACTGCATCATGTTAAAAAAAAAAGTACTACTCTATCGTTCTGTGAGTCTGGGTCTTTCTGTGTTGCATGGCAACATCTAGCACATCCCGACACCACATGTTCACTGGGGGAAAAGAGGAACTTACACTCCCAGTACATCTTTCGTTTCGTCCTCAGAAACAGGAGCTCGCTATGAGTCCTTGAAGGCAGCATTCACCAGGACAGCGCGCCATACTGAAATTGAAAAGGGTGAATAGCAGCAGAGGAGCTCTGCTTTCTCTAAGAGGAGCCAATCACCTCCCAGGCTGGGGGATTATTCAAATAAAGGATGATGTCACCTCTTGCAAGTCACCCTACTCTCTTGTCCGAGTTTCTCGTGGCTGTCTGTTGCCCTCCCTCTAGGCCCCTCAGACCCTTTTCTTCCATTCTCCATGCTCGACTGAACACACACACTCATGCACGCTCTCTCTCTCTCTCACACACACACACATTACTGCTGCACCCCATGCATCAAGTTGCCTGCATTGTCTGCCCTCGGTGCTACTGTTGCATCAAGAATTCAAAAACCTTCAGTGCATTTCAGACCTGTTGATTGTAATATCTGGAATATTTTTCATGTTTCTCCTTAACAGGTTCATCTCCCACAAGGCGTTTCCAAATTGAAATTACATTTCTTTTGTTTTTTCTGGAAGGTCTTGAACATTCTTTTGTCCTCAAAGTCACATTTCCACCAGCCAGATCCCAAATGCCCACCTGCCCGTCGCGTCAGCCTGTCCCAGTTGGAGCGAACAAATCTCAAATTGGATGACACTAATTGAAAAGGGTGAGGCAGCCAGCGGGAAAGGAAAAGGCAACTAAAGAGCAGAGCGTAGAGTGTGTCTGGCTTTTGGTTAAAGTTGCACGTTTTCTCTCAAGTCACAAACAGATACCGAAGGGCATTGTTTCATTCCCTGAAAAGCTTTTGTTTCTTGTGCAGCGTGCTCTTCACCAGAACAGAGCTTTTCATCAGACACAGTCTGGGTGGGCATGCCGCCTGTCTGTCTGTCTGCCTGTCTGCTGCTGCTGCCTCTGCTGCTTAGCTCCCAGCAGCCGCCTGCCTCCTGTCTGCATAAGCCAGGCTTTTGTGTGCTGGTCTGTTCTAAGATAGGTTTCTTTTCATGTCCAGCCTGTGGTGTGCTCTTCCTTTTCCAAGTGCTGAATAAATCTCACCTTTTCCAGAGGTGAGATTTATTCAGGCTTGTGTTTCTCGCCTGAGCTCAGGGCGGAAATGTACGACTCGATGTATGACACTACGCCGATCACCTGCTTGCATGAAAACCTGTTATCGCCCTTTATCCCTCTCGATCAGATGTCCAGTGGAAGCTTTGTTTCTCTTCCTGCAAAGTGGATTGACCTCAGATTTGTGTGTTTGAAGAGGGTGTGTTGTGTTGTCTCACACCAACAAGAAATCCTGCAAGATTAGTTAGTTGCTTTTTTGTTTTGTTTATTCAAATGACAGATGAAGATTACAGCCACATACTGTAGAAATGTGTGAATTTTGTTGCGTCAATAAAGAATGCAACTAAATGGAAGGAGACCAGGAAGAAGGCAGGGACTCGGGTGCGTTCGATGCCTGCTAAGTTGATGCTGACGGACGTATTGGCATGGTTAACCGGGTGCAACAAAGAGAGGAAGGCGGTGGTGTGCGGCACCGGAGACAGGAAGAGGCAGGGCCGTGTACCCTGCTGCACAGTTCCCGTGTTATTTACCTCATTGTTTTTTTGTCCACACAGCCCGCAGTCCAGCTGGGGCGGCTGCAGCACAAAAGGGGCTGGCGCTCAGTCAAGCCCCCCCATCAACAAAAACCAAACAAATCTGGCCGCTGGTCAAGAGTCTGCTACCTTTTTTGCAAAACTCTTACACAACACATTAGTTATTTAACAAGCAGCAGATACAGGCATGCTCTAATTGTGTTTCACATATTCCAGCATGTAGCAGTCAGATTGCACAGAGGTCTTAATCTCGAGTGTATCTGATGCATCCCAGTGTTGGTGTCGTCCCTGTGTCATTATAATTAATGTTGGTCCAGGTTCAGCAGTGCAAGTCACCAGTCATGTTGTTATGATGTCATAGATTTCCAATGTGGAAAAAACAAACAAAAATGGGTCGGGGTTAGGGTTGGGGGTTTGAATGTGGTTGTGGTTAGGGTTATGGGGTTAGGGTTTGGTGTGATGATATTTCTGGGATGCCTGAACCGCCTGCAAGTTAGGGGTTGGACGGATTGATCCAAATGTCGATAGTATCGATACCAACACCGGTATTGGTATTAGATCGATATCATCACAACATGATCGATGCTTTAGCTTATTTGTCTCCTCTAATTTCAGAAGGAGACATGTCTGTGCAAACACCGCTCCTCTCCTGCTGGCACACTTTGCGCTGCCCTCTCCTCCCTGCTCTGCTTTTTTTAGTTGTGGTGCAGTCACATGACTCGGCGGTACTGAGCAGCAACATGTAGGCTCAGAATTTGCACATTTGCCCTTTGTTTTGAAAAATAAACCTCATCTCATAAATCATGGCGCACTGCTCTCCTGTACATAAGCTGTCTTTATGAGTAAAAATCATTGGTAATGGTATCGGCAACACCGGCGCCATTTATTTGTTATCTGATCAATATCAAAATCTGCAGTATAGCACACCACTGCTGCCAGCCCTCTCGAGCCACCCAGGAAAGCAGCTGGCACTAAGAGACACACCCTTTATTTTCCCCTAAAGATATTCACAAATCAACCCCCTTTTCAGACAAGTGTCTCCCAAATGCATGAGAGCGATCACCCTGCACAGCACTTCACACTCCAATAGCATGAATATCATTATCTCACAAACAGGGTGTGTACGTGTGAACAAATACCAAGCGGATGCAGGTTAGTGCACGCCAGTGCAGCTGCTGCTCTCTGTGCACAGCGTGGACTCCCTGAAGACAACAACGTGCCAGCACTGCATGTCATTAACATACAGGATGCTTCTACAGCCACTAAAAGGCAACATGTGATGAAGGAAGGCAACGAGACCCTCATTAACGCGCCATCATCACACAGCAGGCGTGTTCTTTTGTGTGTATCTGTCGCCCACAGAGCACGATAGTGATGATAGTGACAGTCATATCTCGTTGCAAGGATTCATATCCACTGTGGTTTTTGCTCTGGTCCTTTATTCAAAAAGGCCCTGGTCAACTATATTTGGCATGCAAATATAGTTGACCAGGTAGAAGCCATTTGCAAGGCTTCGCCCTGCAGCCTGCTTTCTCTTTGGGACTGTTAATCAGCTCCAGGCTAAAATCTGATGATGTTAAGAGCAGGCTGGCCAGTTCCTCAGCCATCCCTTGGCTGCATCTTTGAGTGAATAATTGATGCAGGTTCTGAGGATATTGGAAAGCTGTAGCAGCTCACCTCACTAAGAGGAGCATCTGCTTTGATCTTAGTCTATCACATGCTATCTACTTCCCATCTTCACTGTGTGGTTTTGATTTAGCTGAAACAGCCGCCCGCTTCCTCTATTTATTTCATGCTGAGTTGCAAGGTAGTTTGTGATTATGGCAGACTCAAAGTTTTAAGTACTCTACTCAGCGTAATTTAGCTTTTATAAGGATGATGTTTTATCCCCCCACTCTTGTCCACCAAAGTGCCTGTGTTTTGGCTTCCTGTTACTTCCTTATTGCTTTGTATTGCATAGATTTCCTGTGACTGGTTGGCAGTTGGCTTCAGACAAGAGCCTGCTCTCTCCCTCTAGTGGTGCCAGACTACCACAACACAGCACAAGTTCATCAGACTGCAGTGCAAGTGTTTATTTTTTAAACTTTGCAGCTGCTAAGTTTCAGACATTTTGAAAAGAAAATATTGTGTTATTTGTTTTCATTCACATAAATTGCCCAATTTATTTAGGATTAGTCCAAGAGATGTCATCAGTGCTGACCGAGCCACGACATTTTTTATATTCTTTTTTATTTTGCGTTCAGAAGACACCATCTTCACAAAAAAGAAAGTAAAAACCTGTACAAATTCCTCAGACTGGCAATCTTGCACTTTCTCAAAATTAGGTAAAAAATAATTAAGACAGCATGAAAAAAAAGCAGCCAAATAAACACAGTGCACAGCTGTTTCCATTAAATCAAAACAGACTTAAAGAGCTTTTCTACAAGTGTCAGGAGAACACTAACAAACATGTTGCATTTATAGTGCATTGTTCCACTGTGATATACAACTCCTATGTGGCACATTATATCACTATTCTAAGTTGTGCATCGGTCTTTAATTAAGAGGAAATAAATACGTCTGCAGAAATGCCATTTTAAAAAAAACCCTCTTTATAATTGTAAACAATATCAAAGAAAACAAATAAGTTTACATTAAAAAGAATACAAATGCCAGATATCTGTTGCATTTCAAAAACCCCTTGTTACTGTTGTTCTGATCCAGTTTTTGTGCACTGAAAGCCGTTCATATCACCCTATGCAGCATACTGCATCTTCACCACTACTTCAAGTTTATATAGGTACTTCAAGAGATGTCCTTATCCATTCATGAATAAAATAATGGAGCCATTTCCCACATAGCTTCAACAGACAGAGTCTAAGTGAACCATTATTTAAAATAGAGACACAACTATGCTGCTTACAATCCAAACTAGCATACAAAAACAAAAAGTATTAGCTATATATTTCAAGAAATATTAGAAAGGAAGATTTTTGGACTGGCATTTGACTTTTGGAGATTTTCCCTGTAATATTGTTATACTGTACAGCTGTGTAATTAGGAAAGAAATGAGGGGGGAAAGAGTAAAAATGAACAAGAACAGTTAAAACCAAAGTCTTGTGACTGTAACGTAGCTATAAAAGCTACTAGCCAAAACTGCCTTAGTTAAAGCAAATTTAGCCAACTTCTTCTCATTTACAAGAAAATGAAAATTCAGTTTTGATATTCAGGCATCTTAGTAACTGAACTATACAAAAATAAGTCAATACTGTAATGGGGAGGGGTGAGAAAACATTACCCGCTAAACAAATGCTGCTAAAAGAAAATTAGCCTAGTTTAGCAGAATAGCAGTAAACAGAACCAGAGCAATTCCTGTGAGATCACATGGTTAAGCTACATTTAAATGAAACATTTGAATGTATTTTTAAACCATTAAAAGTCACTGGCTGAAAAGAACAAGAGAGGGAAGGGGAATCAAAAATTCATTTGGGTACTGAATAGTCTCCTTCATTTTTTTCCTTCATTTTTTTCTTAGTCTAACAGCTACAACAAATTTAAAGATTTTTTTAGTGCAGCCATTCTGACATTAAATATAAACATAAATGCAGGTATTAAGGGGGAAAAAAAAATCACTGATGTCATTAGACAACGCCTACATTTACATATTTCATTGCTAAAAGGCTGCTGTGAAAAAGGTCTACTACCAATTAACATAAAAAGGCATAAAATTATTTATCATCTTCAGTAGTTACTGTGTGTTTGTAAGGCAGCACATTAACCTCACATGTTCTAGCAAAGCACACCCTGCCTTGCAGTGCATTAGCACAGACCTACACCTGCCACCTTATAGCGAAAACGGCTCATACATATTGATGACTAGCCGGTTGGCCGTAGGGCTTGTCCTTCCTCACACGGCTATCATCTCCTTCCAGTCACAGGAGGACGTGAACAATGGAGATGAGGAGCAAGCAAACTGAACTGGAGTGAAAGAATGGCCTTGACTGTTAGCCAAAGCACATGTACTGCAGTTAATGATCAATCTTTTTTTTTTCCAGTTTGCCTGACTTCACCCTTATGCCTAAATTCCACAAGACATACATATATTTACATAATCAAGACGTATGAAAATCCTTTTGCCTAAGTAGCCATGCGAACAATAAAATGATCATGAAAACCCTGTAAATGGTTGGTCATTCAAGCGAAAATGCATCCTAATTTGACCCGACAGACCCGGTGTCCAGCCTTTGTTTACCGACATTATGCTTCTAGCCATCAAAGCCTGACCAACCTGACAAGTCAGAAAGACAATAAATTATTCATACAGTACAGTACAAAAGCTGAAGCAGGTAATTGGGCCTTTAAGTGTTCAGTGCAATCTACCGTTCCAGCACAAATTAAAATGCAAAATTCAAACAGGGTCAGCAGGGGACAAAGTAGTCCAAGGTCACTCAGTTCTGCTTCAAGACATTAATCGTCCCTCTTTGCTGGGTGTCTGGAAAAAGGAGTGGAATAGCAGTCAGCTACTGGAGTGGAAATATGGTGCTTTAAAGATGGAGGGAAAGAAAGACTCCCATGTCCTTCAATGTACACACTGCTTACTCCCTCTGTGCTTCTACTAGGTCACTGTCCTCACCACTCACAGCAGCAGAGGAAGGAGCATGATGAGGCTTCGGGTGCACGGAACTTGCCAGAACTGGGCGTGTCCGTGCACTGTGCAATGAATGCATGTAGATCTGTGATGTGTGCCTGCTCCTGTGTTTGGGCCTGCAAGAAGACAAAAAAGCTGCAAATTTTCAAACTGCTATTGTCACTTACTAAATAAAGTCCCCGTATTTATCGGTAAAAATAAATCAATACATAACTGCACAAGTATCCTGCATTAATGTCGGATCACATTTACCAGTATTAACCAATAAGTATGATCATTATCTTGATTTAGCAGATTGGCACTGGGAAATTGGCAAAGTAGAGGAGACGTTGATGGGAAAAAATTTTGTTTTTAGATTTTAGCATTTCTGTAACCCAATTCATATGATTAGAAAAAGCACTCAAACCACCACCCAACAGTATAATAAAGAAACAAAGCAGCAACTGTACCATGATGGTGTCATAAGCTCCGGTGATGAGTGCGATGAAGAGTGACAGCACCATGTAGATGAAGAGGGAGATGAAGGTGTAAAGGTAGATCTGGCTGAAGGTCCACACCAGCGTGCTGCTGTGCTCCATCTCAGCGAATGTTACAAACATGTCGTCTCCATTGATCAGAGAAAACAGGCACTCTGACACCATGGACAGGGAGCGAAACTGGATACATGGAGTCCAAGTTAGCACAATCATTTAAAAAAGAAAGTTTTGCAGTCTTTCAGTGTTTTTATTTATCTTTTTGGCACGGACTACAAAATTGACTTCTAGAGAATGTTTCTGTGTGAAAGGCAAATATCAATTAATTTCACATTCATTGAATTAGGTAATGTACGGTATTTTTGATGCACATATTAGCATATTTATTTTTTTATTGAGTCATTTAATTATTTCATTTTATTCATTTTGTTTTTAATTTCAGGAAAGCTGGCCCTCCATATATTTCCACCAGAATTGATTACATTATTTTGCTTGCATGCAAAAAGCAATATCCTAACAAAATGCTGCCTGATTCATATTTAATAACTATCAATTTTCTCCTCCCATTAATTATACATAGCTAAAAAATGACATGCTGGGAGGCAGTTTATCATAATTAGGATGCTCTGACATGCAATTCTGCTCTGAGTGACTCACGCCTGCTCACTCCTCCTTAGAGACACAGCTGTGTGTCCGTGCATTACCTTTGCATGGTAGGGCCCCAGCACTATCCAGCCACAGAAGCAATATCCCAAATAAATGGCGGCCGCACAGCAGCAGAAGCGGATGACATTGGGAAAAGCAGCTCTTAGAGTCACAATCAGGATCTGTGGGAGAAAGAGACCAAATTAACTAACTGTAAATACATTTTAAAATATTATATAAAAAAAAATTGTGTTAAATAATATTTTCCATATTTGTGTGTGTGTGCTTGACATACATTGTATTTCTGAAAGAAGCTGAGGTAGCGGATGACTCCCACCCACACCAGCAGAGTGGATGTTCCCAGCAAGATCCCACAAACATCATATGATGACAGATTCTGCATCACAAGGAAGACATCATTACTTATCATAACTGGGAATTTTACATCTCAGTAGGTGAATAAAAAAAGAAGCTTCTTTTACAGTGTGCACAAAGCTGCACACCCTCTCACATCTTGTTACCTTGGACTCTATCCCAATTTTGATGAAGCTGCCGATGATGGTGAACGTGTCACTGACGATGAGCAGAATGTACCAGCCGTTGATGAACTCCATCCTGTCTCCCCAGCTCACGCTGCGGCCCAGTTTGTGATTGAAAAACTGCACGTACTCCTGGGTAAGGAGATGGGAGATGATCAATGGGGCTTTAAATGTGATACACACAACCGGAAAACTGGGAGACCGTGAAAGGCATTTAACTACTTCTCTTTGCCTGCGTGACTTATCATTATGAAATTATATGTGTTGAATATATGGCATCAGGGGGCAACAGTGTTTGTATTGCAGGATGTAAGTTTTGCTGTGATCTCATTAGCGCCACGGCCTCCAGGCAAGCGCTTAGAAAAATGACAATCCAGCAGAGCGAGCAGTGCAGACCAGCCTCATCTTTCACGGTGGCAAGCAAAAATCGGAACTTCTGTAATCACATTTCACGCATGATGACTAACTTGATACACTGCACCCTTGAGAAATGTAATGATAAAGATTTGAAAGCTCATTTGCGGCTCGATATTTTTTTTTCTGAGGTTTTCATTTTGCACGATTTGCTGTTCAGAACAATTCATCTCATCCTGGGTCTCTTTGCAGCACTTCAGTTCATCCACTGAAACTTTTTTGCTTCCACCTTTAAGCCAACTTTCTTCTGATTGGCTGCCTGTGAAAAACAGAAGATCTTAACAGCAGGTGGGCGGGGCTTATGTGCTCACAGGTAGTGCTGTGTACCTGAGATGGCCATATTAGGGACATCTGCTCTTGGCAATATTTTTTATGTGTCCTCATTTGGTTGTTAATATGACACCATAAGAAACTACAGTTCCCCAAATGACACTTAAGGCTGACTGTAAAAGGGGTTCACTTCCACAGACACTGTGAAAGATGTGTTTCACCCACTGGTTTTAGACTCCGATTTGAGGCTTTAATGTAACCAATGCGATTGTATTTGGATAATAATAATAATAATAATAATGGATTGGATTTATATAGCGCTTTTCAAGGCACCCAAAGCGCTTTACAATACCACTATTCATTCACTCTCACATTCACACACTGGTGGAGGCAGCTACAGTTGTAGCCACAGCTGCCCTGGGGCAGACTGACAGAAGCGAGGCTGCCATATCGCGCCATCGGCCCCTCTGGCCAACACCAGGCCAGAGGGGCCTGAGAGGGAGAAGTGCTAAGTTATCCATAAAGTGTACGAGTGCAATGCAGACTCTTAATTAGTACCTCAACAAAAGTTGCAACTTCAAGCAGTCAGTCCACTTGGGGTCCCATTTTGAAAGACATCAGAGGAGAAGTGAAACTTTTTACAGCCTCCTTTTGGTCTCTGTAGCATATTTTCCTCCTAAATTTGGAAATATCTCACCCATTTCCATTACTGTGCTAAAGTCTTGAGTCACCCCTCTTTTTTTTGGTTTATATTTTGTGAGTAAAATAGGTGCAAAACTTTATTGAAACATGTGCAAACATACATGGAAATAGAGTAGATAAGCCAATGGTATGACCATGTATGACCAGGTATGCTACACTAGCAGCGTGTTTGGGATCTTTGTCATACTGAACAATGAAGCTGTTGCCAATCAGATGCTTTAACAATGGCGGATCAAAATATGATGATGATGTCACTTTTCTATGTTCGTAATTTCATCGGTTTTTGACGAGATATCCAACATCACTGGCTGACATGCAGCCCAAACCAGGGCAGAGCCTCCACCATGCTTTACAGTTGTAGAGACTCATTGTTGTACCTCTCTCCTGACCTCCTTTGTACATACTGATGAGCATTTGAACCAAAATTTTCAAATTTGGATAATAGACCTGATGCATCTCTCAGGTACTGTGGAAGGTCTGTGCTGGAATTTTTTCATACTTCGTAACCTCCTAGGACCTGGCGTCCACATATGCGGATATCACATTTTGGGTTGTCTAGACCAAAGTATTAAATTTTGCTCTACAACGGCCTGATATCCACTTACGAGTACACTATTCAATTCAATTCAATTCAATTTTATTTATATAGCGTCAAATCACAACAAAAGTCGCCTCAAGGCGCTTCATAGATACAGAGAAAAACCCAACAATCATATCACCCCCTATGAGCAAGCACTTTGGCAACAGTGGGAAGGAAAAACTCCCTTTTAACAGGAAGAAACCTCCGGCAGAACCAGGCTCAGGGAGGGGCGGCCATCTGCTGCGACCGGTTGGGGTGAGAGAAGGAAGACAGGATAAAAGACACTGCCACTGTTCTATCAAAATCTAAAGCAAATGTCCTCTTATGTGAATCTCATTTTTCTCAGAAACAAAAATCAGGTAAAAAACAAAAACAACCCCCCCCCGGTAATTCTTTGTTTTTACATTCATCAGGTTCCAATCAGCCCAAATAGCAAAGAGAAACTGAAAATACATGCCATGAAAGAGTTCAGGTCTTAGGAGGTTAAGACACGATTTTCAGATACTGTTGAGCTGCTGTAGACAGGTTTTTAGGCCTGATACTTCCCTTTTTGTCTTCCACTTGTCCAGTTTCCTCAGTGTTTTAAGTGACTGCACAGCATGCCAAGATAGGGAACGTTTTCCACTAATAGATCTCCGGGAATCACCTTGTTGATATAAAAATATGGTTTTGTGTTCATCACAAAACTGTGATATTTTTCATAGACTCAGCTAAAGAAATTGGAACAAACAGTTTTTTGGTGTGCAGAGACAACACCTGCTCATCCCTTGAGTTAGGTGACTTTCTCATAGGTCAGTATTTCTTAACAAAGAAAAAAAAATACTCTTAAAATGGTCAGGTACAAGGACGGAACTAAAAAGAAGTGAAAAATCAGCGAATGTCCAAAGAAGAAAGAAATCCTTGAGAACTATCGTTCAAAACTACTAGTCTGTCTCCTTGAAAGCAAAATATAAATAAAAATAGACTTTTGCTGTAAGAGACAAGACTCAGTACTGTAAATTGTATTAAGACTTAATGTATGCATTATTAAAAAAGCTAGACAGTCTGGCAGGAAGGTTCTTTTGACCAGGCTTCACTTCCTTTTTTGTGTTCATGGTGGTCGTGCATTACTGTGCGGTTACATACACAAACAGCCTGTCCTTATCTGAGCTCCACTTTTGTAGGTCATTGAACACTATTTAACAGGTATTTGTGTGTGTGCAAAGGGCCCATGCAGTCTATGGATGCATCTTGGTATCCAAGCTAGCTAATGTTGACTGATAACCTATCACTCTGTTCTCCTGTCCAAGTAAGATTATATGTTCTCACGCCCAAAAGAGGCAAACATTGAGACAGCCAAAATGCCAAACCCAAGGCTTCAAAAAGGCAATGTCAGTCGTGCTATGTGCAATATCCATTTCAAAATATCCATTTCATAGGCTAACATCACAAAAACAAAAAAATACAGAAATTATTGGCCAGTTTTCTTACATGCTGCAGGAGGATGCCTCTGAGGATGGAGCGTCCACACAGCAGCAAGGACAGCACGCAGACGATGGCCACCAGCACATCAAAGAACTCCTGCGCATAATTCTCGGCTGAAAAAAGAGGACAGAAATAAAAGGGATCAAAGGCAATTAAAATAAATGAAGCGGCAGGTAAATAAATATCACCCCTAACCACCAGTCACTCACCACGTCCAGTCACATTAGGGTCTTTACACTCCTTAATGGAGGCACGGTTCTGAAGACTGATCGTAACTTTACCGCTGTGCGCCCTGTTATCCATCACAATCTGACGACAAAAGCATGAACCACGTAACAATTAGCATGTAAAAAACAACATTTTTAGTTTTTCTATTCTGTGGGATGTTGACTGAATTTGAGATCATAGAGGGGCTCACTGTGATAGCAAAGGTGTAGCAGTCCGGGATTTCATTATTTATAATGGTCTGAATGTTGATGGCCTTCAGCTGGAAGTCAATGGTGACATTGATCAGCCTGGGGAGGAAAGAGACATGCTGAGGATTCAATGTGCAGAATTCACATTGCAAAGAAAAGCAATACCTCTTTAATACCAAAACACACAAACATAACAGAGTCTCTAACTTGTAAAACAGGAGAGTGAAATTCTTGTAGTCACTGTTTCCTGGAGCAGCGCTGTACGTCAGTGGGTCCAGTCCAATACAATCTGGAAAAAGGAAAATCAGAAATAGCAAAAGAGGAACTAAGTCATACATGATTTTTTCCATATCACATGAATGCCACACCACGGTTTATTTTTACCACTACATTTATCATGCATTAGCCATAGCCATCTGCCAAATCAGCAGATGTGCGCAAATAACCCCTTTCCCAGGACCGGACACAGTATTTTTGCTACTAAAGTGGAAAAAAAAAAGGTCTGTGTTTTTCATTACAGGACTCAAGTCTTTAAAAGTAGGGCACAGTTGCAGGGCACTGGAGCAATAACACAGTGACTCACTGACACTATTGGTTCCTTAAGGGAAATACTGGCACTTGAAGAATGTGCAGACAGACGTGTAACAAACAAGTAGACTTTAAAACATAAAGAAAAACAAAATCAAAAGAAGGATTATCCTACCTGTGACAACATGTGGGTCGATGTCAAACGTGTCATTGACGGGGTCAATGGTGCCCCTCCTAAAGTACCTCTGACAGAGGGAGAGCGTGCTTCCGTTAACGCCGACACCCGGCACATAAGCGTACCGTCCCAGTGAGATCTGAGGTAGAGCCAAGTACTGAAGAGGGAAAGAGAAGCCGAGAGGTGGAATTAAGCTCGAGAAAACATCTGTCTCCTTTATGCGATGTTAAACTTTTCACGTTCAGAAAGTAACAATGAAGCTCTCACTAAAAAGAACGCTGTTCAGTCAGGATGGCAACACGATAGCGGCATCTCTTTCCAGAAATATGTCTCAATTACTAGAGGTGGAAATCACCAGACACCCCAAGATTTGATATAATTCCGATAAAATATTATTGCATTTTTATCACATTTATTAACTTTGTGTTATGTGCTTGGTATGGAATAAGATATGTTACGATTTATCACCAAGTTGAACTTTGTCAATATCTTTTTTTACAGAATACAATGAAGTTATTTTACTTTAATTTGAGATTACAAGCACTGTCACTAAAACCTGCATTAATGTTGCCATAAGATTCAATTTGCAATTGCATGCAAAGTGTTTCTGGTAATACACCAAATAACTGTGATAAATTCTCTGAAATCGCATCTGTTGCTGTCTACATAAACAGAAATTCACATTTAACAGGAATGTATATTTAACTGCGCTCAGTAATGTTCCTGTTCTACAGGAATATAACCACAATACAACCAGCTGCCAACCAGTTGAGTCAAGCCCACTTGAGTTGTTTTCATTGACAAAGAGTCATTCAGACTGATGGCAACATGTTGGCAACATTTCTGCTTTTATAAATTAGACAGCAGTTATTTGCAAACTTCCAATGATCTCTCTGAGAGTGACTGCAGTCAGTCCAAGTAAGACTGAAACTGTTTGCAGAAAGGTTGCCTCCTGTTGGGCGACCTGTGCAATCAGTTGCAGAATGTGAAAAAAATCTATACAATCACCAGGCAGCCGCTGCTTTTTTTATGGATGCAAGGAGGTTGCTTTCCTATTTGTGGTCATGTGACTGAGCCATTAGCTTGCTCTTAATTAGGAGGTAGCTTTAACAAGCTGAGTGTGTTCAGTGTTGGATGGTTTTTCAGTTGAGCCCATTTAATGTAAGTTTGCTTGGCTAACAACATCTCAGGATGGTGGCGCATGAGATGAGCCTTCTCGCTCGTAGACTATTTTAATGTATTTAATAAAATCTCAATATTTGGTGTTCCTGTAGTGATCAATGTCAAAAATATTGGGATACTCTATTGGACTGACTTCCCCCCACCCACATCTGTTACTGTGCATAACCTACAGCAGCAACTTTTTCCATCTAACTACTACATCCACTTCTTCATTGTCTGCAAATGCAGACAAACAGACGTCATTTGCAGTCTGTGTTTCTGCGCTTATTCACACACTCAATTCTAAGCTAAGCTAGTAAACATTGTAAACAATACAACTGCTAAAGATAATAGCTCAGCTAGCTTTGCAGTAGTCCTGTTTTCCCCTCAAGCCTCTGATTGACCTTTGTTTTGTTGGGTTTTTGTGTGGAGTGGAAATCTGCAGTCAGTGTTACAACAGTATATTAGGGTCCATTGTAAGTAATAATACCATGAAAAAACACTTATTAATATCAAGCATATCTAATGTATGCATGGCTTAAAAAAATCATTAAAAAAATCATATTAAACAAAATTCTGGTCATAATAATAAATCAAGAGATCTCAAAATGTCTCTTAAAATGGTTATTAGCAGGCTACCTGCTCTATGGCAAAGTTGATGTGGCTGTACATCTCCATCTGTGTGTGGACAGCGTGGGGATTCTTGTCCTTGTAGCCCTTCAGGAAAAGGTGCTTGAATGCCGCTGTGTTTTCCTCTTGAAACGTCACAACCATCTGGTTACTCAGTCCAAACATCACCAACTAATAGACAGAGCCAGAGAGCACAGGCACAAGACAAATGAGCTGAAACACTCGGGCAAATGCAGAGAAGCAGTCGCTGCACAGTTAGAATAAAACACAGGACATGATCGGGTATTTGCATTCTGAGCCTACAGAGTATTCATGTTAAATCAAAGGGCTGTATCCACCTGCACAGTCACAATGATGATTTTCAGCAGCTGCAGGCCAAGTTTGAAAGGCTTGCGCCCCTTTGCATGATACTTGTCACAAGGGCTCATGAAGAAATACTTGAGTTTCCTCCTCAGGGCCTCCTCCTCTCCTTCTTCCTCCTGCTGGAGGAGCTTGGAGCCCACCAGGGTAGGAGGGCGGGAGCTGCCACTTCCAAGAAGATCCTGGGAGCCATAGCCTGATACGGAGGAGAGCAGCTTGTCCTTCTCTGTTAATAAAATCATTCATTTTGGAAAGAAGCTCAGCATTAAAGAGGTACTCAAGACATTATACATTGCTGGGTTACTAACAAGTGACAATTTGAATTAACCCCTTTTATCCTGGAAAAGTGGTTGGAGAGTGTCTTTAATTCTGTTACTTAGCAGTGTTAGCTGGTCTCCCTGCCTGTATGTGGTGCAATTTCACAGCTTAGTATAACCAAGCTAACGCTGGCGGATAACTTTCATGTTTAAATGTGTAAATGCTCAAAAATGATCCAAGCATGATCCAAGATTACCACTTGTAGCTCCTGAAAAACAAAAATCCAGTATCTTAATGATTATATTACATAAAATCATTAAATAAAAAAGAGTTTACAACAGATAAAAGCCCAGGTTCTGAAAAGCATGTTTATTTATACAATGAATCCTTCTTTGGTTCTTCATAATGAATTACTGTGGCATGGAGGCGATCAGCTTTTGACACTGCTGACGTGTCACTGCAGCTCAGGTTGCTTTGATAGTTGCCTTCAGCTCGTCTGTGTTTGGGGTCAAGTGTTTCTCATCTCCGTCTAAACAGTACCTCACAGATTCTGTGCGGCCTTCAGATCAGGTGAATTGGTTTGCTAATTAAGCACGTGTCTAAATGCCATTTGGTAGTAGTTTTGGACCCACTGGCACCCTGCTAGAAAAGGAAATTGGCATCTCCATAAAGCTTGGCAGTCAGAAGCATGAAGTGCTCCACTCCAGCAGATGACATGGCACCCCAAGTCACCACAGACTGTGGAAATGTCACACTAGACTTCAAACACCTTGGGTTCTGTGCCCCAGGTAAGCTCTTCTGACATTATCTCTGGTTCAGGAGCAGTCTGACATCAGGAACGTGACACTCGCAGCTCTGTTCTCTGCCAAGTCCTTGAATTGACTTTTCTCAAGGTTGCAGTCACCCCTGTTGCTTGTGGACATTTTATTTTCCTTCCTCAACTTTTATCAACATGCATTCTGTGAACAGCAAAAATAGCTGTCTGTGGCTCATCCTGCTGGCATAGAGGGAAGCCTGTCAAGTCAGCAGTCTTCTCCTGATTGCAACTGCATGTTCTCAACTAGACTGACAGACAGGCAGTATTTATACTGTATCTGAATGGCAATTCCCCCAAAGTCGAAATAAGATAAAAATTCGAATTATCCTGCTGGGTCTCTTAATAGAATTTTATAAATTGCTTGACTGTAGAAAGATTTTTATGTGATTATCATCAAAACAAACATGGCTGAACTGTCCATGCTATTCGATGACGTCATCTTGGGCTCGCTAACTGTGATGATTTTAAGAACCACCGGTTGTAGATGTCAAGGCGGAAACCTTTAAAGCGTTTATTTTCAAAACAATAAAAAAATAAAAAATAAAACTTTAAATGTCCAAAATCGGCGGAATGATCCTTTGAGCCTCGAGTCACCTATAAATACACGGAGCGGACGTGTTTCTTTCATTGTTCGATATCACACCTTAGCAAATTTTCACAGATGGACCCGCCTCTTTAAAAATAAATAAATAAACAAATACATGAAAAATAAAATAACGTAATATGATGCTAGCAAATAAATGCGTACCAATCCGTGGTATAAAGAGTGATACAGGTGAAGAGAGACAATAAAAGAGAGGACTGAATGTTGCCAAACCTGTGGCGCTGTCTTGGATGCAGGTGTAACTAGAAGATGCCATGGTGATGCGTTCACGTTCGCACAGGAGCAGGGTACATCACACTCATAAAAAGCGAGTAGAGAGCAGACGCGGGTTCATATTATTTGTTTACATCGTAAAATAAAAGACGATTGCTGTCGCAGTCTGCGGATGAAACATAGGTAAACACATCGCCGCTTCCTTATGACCACGTGACTCCATCATGTGACTAATCCCTAGCCTGTAAGCTATTGCTGCTGGGAAGACTAAAGACGCAAACGCCAAAAAATTCAGGGCAAATGTTGAGCTAATGTTCCGGTTATTACTCATTTTTTGTTTTGTTTTATGTTTTATGACAGTTTTATTAATTAAGACTTAGGATAAAATAATTATTGTTTATTGAAGAGAACTTACGTTTGCGCAAGTAGTTAATAAGTTAAGTCATGGTGAAGGGAAAGGGTTTTTTCGCTTTTTGAGAAATACTGGTCTCATAAAGAGGATCTGAGGATTCAGGAGTGAAGCAAGATTAAAAGCCAGGAGATGGCAGTAATGCAACATTTTTGGATGCAAGCTGCCGTTAAACATGAAAGAAGAAGAATAAGAAGGCCTCAGAGGTTATCTAAGAGCATATTGGGAGCAACAACACCATGAAGCCCAAAGAACACACCAGACAGGTCAGGGATAACGTTATTGAGAAATTCAAAGCAGGCTTAGGCTACAAAAAGATTTCCCAAGCCTTGATCATCCCATGGAGCACTGTTCAAGCGATCATTCAGAAATGGAAGGAGTATGGCACAACTGAAAACCTACCAAGACAAGGCCGAACAAGGAGAGCGCTGATCAGAAATGCAGCCAAGAGGCCCATGGTGACTCTGGACGAGCTGCAGAGATCTACAGCTCAGGTGGGGGAATCTGTCCATAGGACAACTATTAGTCGTGCACTGCACAAAGTTGGCCTTTATGGAAGAGTGGCAAGAAGAAAGCCATTGTTAACAGAAAACCATAAGACGTCCCGTTTGCAGTTTGCCACAAGCCATGTGGGGGACACAGCAAACATGTGGAAGAAGGTGCTCTGGTCAGATGAGACCAAAATGGAACTTTTTGGCCAAAATGCAAAACGCTATGTGTGGCGGAAAACTAGCACTGCACATCACTCTGAACACACCATCCCCACTGTCAAATATGGTGGTGGCAGCATCATGCTCTGGGGGTGCTTCTCTTCAGCAGGGACAGGGAAGCTGGTCAGAGTTGATGGGAAGATGGATGGAGCCAAATACAGGGCAATCTTGGAAGAAAACCTCTTGGAGTCTGCAAAAGACTTGAGACTGGGGCGGAGGTTCACCTTCCAGCAGCACGACGACCCTAAACATAAAGCCAGGGCAACAATGGAATGGTTTAAAACAAAACATATCCATGTGTTAGAATGGCCCAGTCAAAGTCCAGATCTAAATGCAATCGAGAATCTGTGGCAAGATCTGAAAACTGCTGTTCACAAACGCTGTCCATCTAATCTGACTGAGCTGGAGCTGTTTTGCAAAGAAGAATGGGAAAGGATTTCAGTCTGTAGATGTGCAAAGCTGGTAGAGACAGACCCTAAAAGGCTAGCAGCTGTAATTGCAGCAAAAGGTGGTTCTACAAAGTATTGACTCAGGGGGCTGAATAATTACACACACCCCACTTTTCAGTTATTTATTTGTAAAAAAAAATGTTCGGAATCATGTATGATTTTTGTTCCACTTCTCACGTGTACACCACTTTATGTTGGTCTTTTACGTGGAATCCCAATAAAATTGACTCATGTTTGTGGCTGTGATGTGACAAAATGTGGAAAAGTTCAAGGGGGCCGAATACTTTTGCAAGCCACTGTATAGAGATATCACTCATGTCTGTATATGAAGCAGTCAGCAGACTGTTAGCTTATTTTAGCATACAGGCTGAAACAAAAGGAATGCTAGCTCTAGTCACACAACCACAACTTCTGATTTCCGCATTCAAAATGTCTTTGTTATATTGGGTAACACCAGAACCAAACTAAATCAAACAACCACAATTTCCTCTTCTTACTTATACTTCTCATATTTTTATTAAGGGACACAAATGCATGAGTTGTAAACCTATACTCGGAGCTTTCCTCAGTAGCATTTAATGCCGCATGGCTTATTTGGAACACAATTTCCCATGAGTCTCTGTCCATTTCAGGTTAATTATGGCTTCTGTCAGATACATCAGGGCTGTGTGGTTGTAGGAGTCACGCCTAAGCCTGCTTTCTGGTGGGCTCTAGGAACATAGATGTGCTCCCAGGCTGAAACTACAGAGTTGTAAAATGGTCATTCAGCTAACTCACCATCTGCAGAGGAATGGTTTATTTTAAGAGATTCATTCAGGTTTCAGAGCCCATCATAGTCCTGATAGACCTCAGTGCAGCGTTTAATACCGTTGAACACAATATTTTACTAGAAATTAGAACACACTGTAGATATTAAAGGTTCTGCGCTGCAGTGGGTTGAATCATATCTATCGTGAAGATTTGAATTAGTTCATGTAAATGGGGAGCTTTCTTCACACACTAACATTCACTAGTGCTGCAATTTGTTATTTAAAAAAATGAAATAAACCCAATGTTAGTTATTGCTATAGACATTACAGTCAGACCTGGAAATGACCATATTTATTTCCCTCAGTGTAACAAATAGGTCCTCTGGACATAATATAAATTATAATATTCAGCGCATGTTTTAAATATGTCTGTGTTAGTATAAGCTAAGCAGCTTTTGTTTGCTTAAAAGCAGCCATGTCATCAAAAACAACCACAACCTTCCAGTTTTTATTTGTAACATGTAAACATCTTTGTGTTACATAATGACTCGATGACAAGACACTAAATACAAAAATGTATTTTAAATAACACTAAACTACTTCCTCTTTTCCACAGATGCTGTTTAAAGAAAAACAATTCAGCTTAGCACCGCAAAATTTCTGGGCCCAAGAAATGTATAGATTTGTAAGATGTAGCCTGGTGGTTGCGTTGTTAGCACAGAATTACTAGCCCCAGATTATGAATTATTAAAAACAAAACAAAACAAAAGCTGAGGCTGAGCTGGAATGAAATAGAAAACAAACCATGGACTCATACATCCACTTGATCCCACTTATCCAGCTCAGGTTTGCAGGGAAAACCTTGAACCTGTCTCCTTAAAATATTTTGTCCCTAAAAACAAGTCATGTGGTGATTCATTGTTGGTTATGATTTAATATTATCATAACCAGGGGTACTCTACTTTGTTGGCCTCCTGTAGCCAGCTTGTAGACTAAAACAATAATAATCAAATATTTTTAAAAATGGTGTAAAAAGGGCTGTCAAATAGAGCCCCAATGTTTTGTTTAAATTTTTTACATTCCTGTGACCATTGTGGCATGAAAGTTTATGCAGTATGTTTACGCTTTAAACTTTTGTCTGTTGCAAATATGTGACAAAAGAAAAACTACAAAATAAAACCACATCAGGAGGCAAAACAGGAAGGAGATGATCCACGAAACCATGTAGGTGCATATTTTCTGCTCATGAGGCTCAGTACAGCACAGTGATCCATTTATATTGTCACCCTGTCTCATCAGTTACCACAAGGAGACACTTCAGATACAAACACCAGCCTGGGCCTCCGTGATTTCTCCTCATCCTGTACAGATTTACATAACAACTCCCCCCCTCCGATCTTTCTTATCTGCCATCCAAAGCCTTGTCCCTGGCTATAACTGACTCGTTAAACTTTATCATCAGCGTGGTGCCTTTGTGCCAGTGGGCAGTGACCTTTGCGGGAAAGCCACTGTGTGTGAGGATGGCCTCCACGATGCCCGCGGTGAAGGCGGCGCAGTTCAAGCTGCTGTTCTCCTTGGGCACGGAGATGTACGCATTAATAAGCGGCTCTTTCTCTATGATGTAGTACGTCTTGTCATCATCGTTGGCCTGCTCCAGCTTGTCAGCTTCCTTTCCAAACAAGGACTTCCACACATTAACCTAAAAGCAAGATGACTGTTAAGAGTTTGAAAATAAAAAAGGGTTACTCATGCGTGTGATTACATTTGCTCACCTTGACAAAGAGGAGCATGTTCAACACTTTGGTCTCCCTCTTCCCGTTCTTCTCCCTCAGCACCAACACATCCAGCATGCTGGCTCCCACGCTCTGGCCCATATCTGCCAGGCGTGTCTGCAGCTCCGACACGGAGTACACGCGGCTCTGACAGTACTGTACCATCTCGGAGAACAGGAGCGCAAAGGCGCTCAGACTGACTTCAGTCTTGGGTCGGGTCAGAGGGCGCTCAAGGATGTTGGATTTCCCTCGAGTGAAACGGGTGTCCATTTTCTGTTGGGGAGTAATGGCAGTCAGTGGTTTACATGTTCTGATGCAGACGTTTTGTTTTGGCAAGATTATGGAGCGCACTTTCATGACAGCTAGTGGAGAACTGGCAAAGGCTTTATACTTTTGTGTTGAATCTATGTAGACCATCAGACATCGCGTGCACAAGTTGCTAGCATTTATATTTGAGCGTAGTGTGCTATCGCTCTTCTGTCATTTGATTACTTTTTGGTTGCACATCACCAGCTTCCAGTATCTCCTCTTTCATAGCCTGGTGTGCTTTCCCTCAAGTAGTGAAACAAGTTTATTGTGTCAAATATTAGAGACTAGCCTTTCAAGCGAATACAATTTGCGATGTTCAATAAAGGCAATATACATTAGTGAACCGCAGGGGTGCTAATTTAGCTTTTATATACTGATATGCTAAACATTTACAAAAAGGAGGCACTAATAACATGGGAATAAATGTGTGACCGCAGACTCACAGACCTCTCATTAAAAAAATGTAATTCCAGGTATGACTTCACCACACAGACACACGTTACAAGCTTTTTGCAAACACAATGGACCTGCTGAGTTTCTACAGACACGACAGCTGATCAATACTGGCTGTTAGCCATCGCGCTACAACTGTTAGCCGGCACTACCGATAAAGATTATCTTACACATAAAACAGCAGGAATGAAAAGCTACGCTTTTACACAGAGAGTATAATATTCTGTAGCAGGTTTACTCATTTTCAGGGACGTCTGTGTAACATAAACGCACCTTGTCAGAGCTAAATCAGCTGATGGTCAGTTTTTCTTCCTCCTCTCCGTCTTCTTCCTGCTTTGACAGCTCAACATTACCAACAGTTAAATTGCATACCGCCATCTAGTGGCCGGACTCTTTAGTGCAACAACACACTGCACCCTGCCTTCCTTACTTTTTACCTATATTTTTTTTAAACAAGCCATCTTCATCTGGCATTAACGACCATAACCATATTGACGTCTCCCTTTCCCCCCGAAAACATAACCTAATTTTTCACAGCTATTATTATTATCATTATTAATAATAATAATATTACTATTAGCACAGTTAATTTTAAATAATTACTCTGGTCTTACTGACTCCACCATGTCCTTCTCGTTTCTGCTTTTAGAAGATCTTTTTTATTTACATCACTGACCTTTATTATCTGCATCCCAGACTTTCTGCACTGGACTTTACACTTGGACCTCCACTTCCTGTTCTTGTAATCATGGCACAGTTGCAAAAACCAGTCTGAAACTTTTTCTCTTGACTTTCTGCAGTGCGTGCACATGTACTGTGACATGATTTCCAGCAATGATCGTGTCACCATATAAACCTCAGTGAACATGAAGATCTTTGTTGTACATTTCTGCGGCTGCTGCTGAGAACACACGTGATTCATATTTTTGGGGGGGACTTCCACAGTTTTGCAGCCCAGCGCTGTGTGTTTTCTCCACACTAACATGAACATGTGTATTGCCTCACAGTGGACTCCCAGTGATTTGTACTGTAGTGAACACTCTTCTGCAGTCTGCTGTTATTTCCAGAAGCTGCGGCACGCAAAACGAGATGACTGAGATTTATTACAGAACTTGAGAAATTCTCGAAAATGTCCAAGTGGATCACTGTGAGGTACACGGAAAGACCTTGACCGCTGAGGACAAACCACTTCGTGCTGCTTATATTACAGGTGCCAGTTTCCCACATTGCTCAGACGGCCACACCAACAGATTAAACTGAGGCCTATCTACTCTGTGTATTTGTGTGTGTGCGTGTACAACTGTTACATAACCACTCCCTTTACTACATGTGATAAATAAGAGAGAGCCATTAAGGCAGACACATTGGAAGTGCGGAGCTGAAGGTGTTCACATCTCAAGATGGACAGAGTCTGCTGGAAGCTGAGCCTGGTCTTTCTGGTGCTGTTGGTCAGCACGTGTGTGGAGGGTAGGGTTGCTTCACTGTTTTCACCTGTTTTATGAGCTCGATTGTATGCATGTATTCAGATCAAGAAACTGTATTTGCTTTCATTTTCTTTCTTTCTTTCTTTCTTTCCCTTGTTGACTAATTCCTCGCTCTACTTGCGTGTCTACCGGTCCAAACTTCTTTCAGTTTAAGGACTCGATTCTAATCTTATGCAAATAGAAAACATACATTTCCAAGGAGGCGATCAGCTTTTATCATTTTGATAACAAAATCTTTTTTCATTCTTGCCAAAATAAAGATTTCAGCTGCCCAACAGGCTGGGGCCTCCTTTGTCATGTTTGCTGTTTTTACCGTGATTCATTTGTTTTTTGGAGGGTGACAGGTCTGGGGCGCATGCAGGCCAGTTTAGTCGCACCGGGACGGTTTTTCCTACCGAACCGTGCTGCTGTAACACATGCAGGATGTGGTTTGACATGTTCTTGCTGAAGTAAGAAAAATCTGCCCTAAAAACCAACCAACCAACCAATCAAAAAAAGAAAAGAAAAGACAAAAAAAAGTATTTTTGGAAATGGCTTTGTGTAAGACTTTTTTTCTGACTCTTCTTTTTCACATCTGAGACCAAGAAATGGGCAAAATCGTTCTCAGCCTGATAGGGGGAGAAATGTCAGCTGTAGCTTGGCCTAAAGTCACTTCTGATTATGCTGAAAAAAGATTTCTGTGGCTTTTTCCTCCAACTGTTGGTTTCATTTAATCATCGAGACAACTGCTGGAACAGTTGGCTGGCCACTTTACTTCCCACTTGTTGAGCATAATAAAAACACTGCAGGCAATATTTGCCTTTCTTCAGTCAAAGTCTTTTAGTGCCGCTGTTCTCCTCGCCACGTCTCCTTTGGTTAAATCAGTTTGTGTTTAAACTTAGAAACAAAGGAAGGTTTGTATGGGGGAGAAATGATGGGCTTTAGTTTGAATGACAATTTTTCTTTTCTTCTCTTCAGCTTCATTTTCATATCGGATGGAAGACTTCATCAGTGCAGTAAAGCAGGTGGAAGATGAGGACCCTGGGTCAGAGCCGCTAGCTGTGTTGAAGAGGCTGCGGCGGGCAGCTGAGGTCAATGACCCGTTTATTCAGTACTTCCTTTTCAGTGATCTCTCTGGAGTGCCTGAACTGGCTGCTAACCTTTCAGATTACATTAGAAAAGCTGTGCATCACAGGGTGACAGAAGACGCCAAAGAGGAAGGGGTGGTCCTAAGTCCTGATGGTACCACTGTTGCCCTCAGACCGCTCCTCCTGGGCATCGAGGCCGGTTTACTCGCCAAGACTCGAGGACGCGTTCGAGGTCTCTACCTACTTGCTCTGGCCAGAGATCTGGGCCTTTCCCTCAGGCAGAGTCCAACTGTGATGCGGCGTCTGGGACCCGACGGCTGCTGGGACAACCTAAGCTCTCCTCAAGTGTTCACCCTCTCGGACAGCCCCTCCCTGCTCACCACCGCTCAAGTCAACGGAGGCATGGATGGCGTCGTGCTGGGGTTGGAGGTTTCTGACAAATCCAGACGTCCTCTCAAGCTCAGCAGTCTGCTGACAGAGTACTACTGCCACCAGCTGGAGGGTAAAGGACTGGACACCGCCCCACGCCTCATCAGCCGACGCCGCAGGGAGAACTTCAGACAGTTGGTTGTCCCGCTGCTGCTGGCCAGACAGGTGGTGAAATCTGTACAGCTGCAGCAGAGTCTGACAGGACAGTCAGATATGGAGAGGAAGGAGAAGAAGGTGCTGATGAGAGAGGTGAAGGAGGGGATGAAGGAGTTTGTCCATATGTACATGGGTGAGCATAAAACTTAAAACACAGACCAAGTGAAAGGTTTTAGAACAGCAGTGTGGTCTGTGACCATTACATAAGAAAGTTAAGAAGATCCATCAAAATACGAGCATAACGTCACATGTAACAAACTCTGATCTGTTTCAGATTGCCCACCCATCGTTCCTCGGTGTATGTGGGGTGCAAAGCCGTACATAGGAACACCCACCAACCTCTTGCTGCCTCTCTCCTTCATGTTCATCCACCACACTAGCACGCCCAGCCAGCCCTGTCTGACCTTTGAGCAGTGCTCTGCAGACATGCGCTCCATGCAGCGTTTTCATCAGGAGGACAGAGGCTGGGATGACATCGGATACAGGTACGTAGACGTTTTCACACGTGACATCTTCGCAACCAGCTCACCCCGTCTAAGAGTCTCTGTCCTCTCCAAAAGCTTCGTTGCGGGCTCCGACGGGAACATCTACGAGGGCCGAGGATGGTACTGGCAAGGAGCCCACACCCTCGGCTACAACTCTGTCGGCTACGGCGTTTCCTTCATTGGAGACTACAGCAGCATTCTGCCCTCTCAGCACGCCATGGAGCTGGTGAGAGACCAGCTGGCAAGCTGTGCTATCATTGGCGGGCGACTCATACCCACTTTTACCCTGAGGGGCCACAGACAGATGGTGAACACCGCTTGCCCAGGAGATGCTCTGTACAGTGAGATCAAGACCTGGAAACATTTTGGGGTATGTAGGAATTTTGAAGTGTGTGTGTGTGTGTGGCGTTTTTCACCACAATGTGCCAACTAATTGAAAATGTTTAGACAGATCCTTACATCACTACTAAAAAAACTTTGATGGTAATCTAGTCTTTCTTCTAGGGTTACTAAGGGGTTGTTGTATATATATCAGCTAATGAAATGTGTTATCAGACATTAGATGGGTTGCTATGCAGCTTGTTTAACTCAGTGATTGTCCTCTGATAATGCCTTAGTAAGCATTTAGAGCATTATAAGTTAAAATGCCTATTTCCCCACATGTATATTAAAACTATTCCTGATGTGATACTCCAAATTGTTGCCATTGTGGGTCATTAACGTGACTCATCACTGCGCAGCACTTTTTCTTTAATCTGAAGTCGATCAAATCTCTCTGGCCTTATTCACCTTCAGAAGTAGACGAGTTCTCCCAGAACGTTCCACAAAAATAATCCACTAGAGCTTCCTACTCCTCCGCCTTCCCATCAATGACACATCCAACCACTGCAGAACTGTCAGAGTCTTTCTGTAGGTGGCATGACCCAGAGTTATGGAAAGCGTCTGAGGTGTACAAGGTGAACAGGAACGGAGAAAGTGTAGTCCCCAGAGGAGCTCCCGCACTGCACATCGCCAAATCAGGCAGAGCCGTATCTAATCTCACAAACTGCAGTCAGTAGCAGTGGCTGAATCATGTTAAATGCACTTGAGAAATCAAAGAAGGTGACCCTCACCATGCAATTTCTGTCTAGATGGAAGGACACTCTCTGCAGCATGTAGGTAATAAAACTGTGATGCTGTGAAGCTCAAGTTAAGGATTTTAAATAGCAGCATTAAAATAATTGCGCAGGTTTTTGGATCTGCAACTTTTCCTGATGTAGCTCCTAGTCAGGGAGGTGAGAAACCCCCTCCCACCTGGTTACTCAAAGAGAAGGAACCTTCAGAAGTTCTTTGTGAAGACGGTGCAACCTGAGTGAAGGTCGACTGTTTCATTTTATTCATCGAGCCTTTATGGCAGAGCATAGGGTGGCAGCATCATGCTATGTGGGTGATTCGAGGCTGTAGGAACAGGTCATAATTGATGAAAGCATGAATGTGGTGAAATACAGAGTCTTTAAAGACCTGTTGCAGCCCTACTTTTATTTCTGCAAATGCTCCACTCTTTTCGGCCTTCTTATATGACTTACTTTCTTTTCTTTTGTTCTTTTTCTTAGGATGTCCAGAAATAAAGAGGCTGGGATAGACCAGAACATCACACAACAAATATTAGACTTATTTTTATGGGCTGCTTTGTTGTCATTTCTTTTTCACTCTGTGGCATGCGTTGCATTAAGTAAGTACCTTTTTTTGGGATTCCATCAGAAGAGCGATTAATATGATG